ATCAAGAGTAGATACCAGAATAACTAAGTTGAAGCCGCATGTTGTGTACTAGTGTAACAGTGTCACTTGTGTACAAGTGTAATAGCTAGAGAAAGCTTACAGACAGTAACTCTGGACGTTTCCGTAACGTGTGCGGTAACCATCATTGGAAGCTAGAATATTCAGACTTCTACACATGGGTCGAAACGTCAGTGGATTGCACTGTCCCATTGAGGAGTACCCTCACAGTGACTCAGGTAATTGTGTTATGATTCCTAGGTTTAACTTAGCTTACTATAGTCAGTATGCCTCTACGCAAGCGCTAACCTAGCCACAAAAGGATTTTTACCCGTGTATATACACGACCCAACAAGTTTAGATCCCGAAAGCAAACAGTGGCAACTGTTTTGCTTTGGACAATCCATAAACGGACGATAGTCAAGATGTCGCGCGATTCTCAGATCCACGCTGACCAACAAATCGACCAAATAAACAAACAAACTAAGTAACAAAACAAAAAAATAAAAACAGACATCGTCTTCCTCGACAGGCATTCAAGTTCATGTCGGAGACGGGACGTAACTTGTCTAGTCCATTCCAGGGAGCAATGCGCAAGAGAAAGTGGAAAAATTCCAAAATCTAAAAAAGGAAATAGGCGATTTTGGAAGTGTTGTAAAGTAAGGATCACGTAACGATTGTCCTTGGTGCGTTGGATGGATGTAAAAGGGACTATAATATTTGCCTTCCTTTTTCTCTCCATAAATTGACTTCTATTTATTGGTCTTGCGAGGAAATTCTGAGTTCACAAAACAGTGACAAAGCAGCCCTCGTTAATTTTGCTCTGTAGTACGTTGCTTCGAGGGCATAAAAATTCAGGTAAATCAATTACAATACAATAAATCACGCTGTTCAAACACCATGAAGTCTTTTCTTACCTTCAGAATCATGAACACTAGGATATTCTTGTATTTTCGAAAAGTTCTTACTCTGTAACTTTCGCAAAACACCTATTTTACGAGAGCGATTTTGTTTTGCTTTATATTCACCGCCAAGCGCGGTGAATATAACGTCATAGTCAGAGATAACAAACCAATCAAATTGCTTGAATCACCAAGAGCAGTGAGTGTGTATATACTAATGTCGAATATGCCATTGACCTCTCGCCACGTCATGTACGAAAATGTTGAGGGTGCGAAGAGAGGATACATTTCGTTGAGAATGTATTTGAGGACCAGCTAAAACTTGAAGACCCCGGTTTCCGTTGAGAAACTGGAGTGCAGTTTCCCACCCCCGTTGGTTTAATCGCCATGCGCTGGAAAAATTGAACTCCGTTAACTCCTTCGAGACTTTGTTTTATAAACACAACAAAAATGAAATCTGTGATTACATAACATATCTTGTAGTTTGTATTATTATTTTTTTTCTACTGGTGGCCTTCCGATCAAGAAGAAAAGATACTCGCCTCCTTCTCCCGTAGCTAGGGCCCGTTTCACGAAAGACCCTGCAGAAACTATCCACTTACTAAGCCCCCAAACCAGTTAACTGACAGCTTCATTTTATCATTTTTAAAATTATTGAAACTTAGCCTTCTCCAGGCGTCACCGTGCCGGTTGTCCTGAATCAGAACAGAAGTAACAGATAGGCTGGTTTGCCGTGGTACATAGTTTTGCAGCTAGTAGCTTGAGGATGATCTTTGTCGGTCAAACAGGCTGCAGATGTGTTTTGTTGATTTCGGCGAGAGGTTTCGCGATATCGTAAAGAAAATAATGTAAACATCCTAGTCTTACTTCGTCGCTGGTCAATGTTTTCGAGCTATACCGCTTAACTTTGTGCTTTTTATGTTTTCCCAGGGTTGCATTTTATTGCATGCAGCATAATTATTTTATCCTTTATGCCACAAAACGATTTCTTTCGGTCGTAGGCATTGCAAGCTCAGAGTTTTTATTCAGCTAACTCTTTGCAGAGAGGGTCAAAATTTGTCGGATAACATACAATCGTAATCTTCACTTAAATAGTCAAAAACCATAACAGAATGGTCAAGAGAAAGTGATAATATAATCAATTTTTGTATTCCGCAGTTCATTTTTAATTATTATCATTTCTTGTTTTCTTAACAGTAACCTTGGCTTAAATAGCATTGAAATTCTGCCTGAACAAGTGCTTGCTAAACCATTGCTAAGCAGTCTAGAGACATTGTAGGTGCAAAAGAAAAAGCACTGAATTGCCATGAATTTAAAATGACCAAATGGCACTCGGTTGCTGGGTTCAGTTTTCAAAAAAGGCATCAATTTTTCTGTAACGATTTGCTCGTTTTATTCGGATTTTAAGTAACATGAAATACAATTGACTTTTGCAAAATCTCGGGTCAAGGTGGTGGATGGTTCCAAATCCTTCTTCAACAAGGAATTACGTCGTCAATGCTATTGTGAATGAGTTTGCCCACTTCTTAATTTTTTTTAACACCTTACTAGAAAGTATTTTTCGCTTTGAGGGGAAGAATTGATGGAGTTTGGATTCTGCAAAAAATTCAACAATATCACGTCACTTCTACTTGGCAAGAAGACTTGGCGCTATTGTCATTAGCATTACACACTCTTCCACTCCGATCAGTCCTCTTCACCTGTGATATTCTAAGGCACTGAATCTTTCGATATCTGCCTGTGGATGCAATGCCTTCGATACATTGTCTACAATTTACGTGTTTTTCGAGCTATTGACCGAGCTCTTCTTTCCACTACCAATCACATGAATTATTCCAGTATCAGAATAGTCGTCATTAAATTGGGGAATTGAACAGATTCCGCCAAGCATACACTTTAAATGATCTCTGGACTTAATAAATTGACAACCCAATTTTAATATTCTAGATGGACACAACTTCAATAATCATACTTTTTGTTGTTTTCTGCGGATTAATTGACGGACGTGATAATATTGAAAAACTTCAATAAGCCCTGTACAGCTGGTCTGTTATGCGGTGGAAGAACAGCGTGTTGTAAAGCAGGATACACACTGGGATGAGGCAAGCAAAGAGCACATACAGTTGAACCTCCATTAAGCGGCCACCATATTAAGAGACCACAAACCAAAACCCCGAAATTATTGTAGAATAGAATCGGGGAATTAAAACCTCTATTTAGCGGCCGCGGACACTTTGGCCGTCTCAACAAGGATTCTTTCATTGTTTTGACCTCTATTAAGCGGCCATTAATGACGCCCATGATACACATAGTTTGGCTCTTTTTTAAGAGAAATATAATTTAAAAAAATTCCGAGATAGGAGGTGACGACCGATTGTAAACCAGTAATATTCCTTCCATGGCTTTGTTTTTTGTTGTTGTTGTTGTTGTTGTTGTTTTTTTTCATAATAAAGTGACTGTTTCTGCTTAAGATTATGCTAACTTATTAATTAACGAACCTCTATAAATTTTGCTCATTAGGAAACTCTACAAGGTGGCCACTTACCGATTCCCCTAGGGTTGCTGCTTAATGGAGCGTCCCCTGTGTCATTTTAAAGGTGCAGTTTGGAGTTTAAAAGATGAAGTCTTTTGTCTTTCTTGGTGCGAATTTTTCTCGTTAGCATGGGGGTTTTGTACCACGTGACTGAGCAGCTGCAAAAGGCCCATTGCTTACTGAAATCCGCTGATAAATCCTCAAAACATAACAATGTTTATTTTGATACATTCTACGAATTAGTGACGCTCTGAAGAACTTTGAAACTGGTTTTCATTCTACAGGTAATTTTAGGCTTCGCTCAGAAAGTATTACGTATGATATCGCCAAACCTGCCGTATTTGTTTCAAATGGTGGCAATGGATTTCCTTTAATTAATGCAAGCCTCTCATTCCCGAAAACTGAATTGTTGGTGAGCATATGTTAACCTTTCCACTTTTAAAAATTTGATTGCATGTTTGAGCACAAGTATGTCGCGTTATTTGTTTCCTTGCCTTTATTATTATCATGATTTTTTTCGGGATATTCTAAGTTTAACGTCATCGTCAACATCAAACAGATAAAGGAAAAAAAAACACAGAAATTGCAACGTAGTTGTATTTTCACAGATGATTAGGGCTAAGCCTGGAACGTTTGGAAATTAATTTCATATAAACACAGCACTTTCGTCGTATTTTTCGTTTTTGAAAAACTTTTTTCCTTACTTGTATTGAATATGCATGCGTGTGCCAAGGGACATTGTGCTTACCAGCTTTTTGACTACTCTCTGGCGGAATACATTTTTTTTTTCATCCTTATCAGTTCATTTTCATTTCTATTTAAAAATGCAAATTTAATTAACATTTTAACAACTGCGCGAATTCTCGAAGTTGTCCCGGTTATATTGAAACACGATTAAGGCCACTATGATGTGTATCCAAAAAAGCAATTATGCTTCCAAATTTATGTCATAACTTTCTAAGGACATACTTTGAGATCCTGATAGGCCAGTGTTTAGTGTAGTATTATAAAATGACTATAAGAAAATGCTTAAAAAGTATGAACTTGGTTTAAACATTCGTAACGAGATGGACAATTTCCAATGTTTTAGTCACTTGTGATTTTAAAGACTAAAACCCCCGGAAGCCACATTTTTTAGAGCATCAAATAACTGTACCCAGGTTTATTCTTAGTAATTCTGGCACACAACTTTAACTAGTACGGAACCTGGCAGTCGGTTTCATCATCTTGAGTTTGTTTAGCGGTGTAATCTTACATATTTGCAGGGTGCTCGTCATGATTGCAAACAGTGTAAAGACAAATTTTGATATCATCTTAAAAATTGTGTTTTTGTCACTGCTTAATTGGGGTGAAATTAAAGACGTTGTCCTCGCAACACCAGGTAAGTTAGTGACCACACTATCATGCTTTTGTTTTGTGTTGTGTGTTCTCTTGTTGTGTAGTTGTTGTTTTTGTTTGTTTGTTTTCTCCTCTTTTTTGGAAAATTCATTTTACTATAAAAAGTAAGGCTAGAAAACTTTGTTTCAGCAGCTTCAATCACAGTAGTATTGTCAGATCCAGCTCCTAATGTTCGCACTTTGGAAGGGTTCAAATTTTCCTGTTGGGCCAAAGGATCTCCTCCAATATACACTGCATTGATAAGGCAAAACACAGTGTTGGTCAACACATCAGAAACAGCAAGTATCCCGTTAGATCAAGAAGGAAACTACAGCTGCGTGGCGACAAGTGATCAAGGAAAGGACACAAAGGAGTTTTCAGTTTCTTTTACAGGTTGGAATTTTAAAATCTGTACTCCTACCCAATAAATGATGAATGACACTAAAATTTCGCGGGCCAATTTAATTTCTCTCATTGGGATGCCAATGTTTCGTGAAACCCACAATGTCCACAATTTATCACACACATGGCCAAAAACAACCAATAATAGAAATAAAATAAATAGATAAATAATAATATACGACTTAACGCTCTTTAAATCACGATATTATTAATGTATGCACCCCTCATGGACTCCATTTTCCTCCTTACTAATAATGGATTATGTAGTTCGGAGTACAGTGAATCTTTGACATTTCTAGCTATTATTCCCTGAAAGAGTGTTATGTCATGGTGTATGGATTGATCATTCTCTCTGTTCAGATTGTGGGCCAGATTGCAGATATTACTCGAGCTATATTTACGGAAACTACATTACCTGCAAGAGTTTTTCATACTTAAGCCAATGTGCCCCAGTGATTACTGAAACATTGTAAGATGCCAATCATTCTTATATTAGTGACAAGTATAATCTGTGTGCTTGTGGTAGATTTGTTTTACTTTGTTCCAGTAAGAATAGTGATATTTTTATTCGAGGAATTCGAGGAACTAGTGCGCACGGTGAGCAATGCATCAAGGTTTACATTACTAAAGGTTATGCAAAACTTTTGGGGGCCAACAAGGTGTATTAATATTCCAATATTATTCTTATAGATGAACAAAATGACGAATAGACTGTTATCACGATTTAACGAGCGCATTACTGAGCGCAGCCAAAAGTTTGTAAACACTTCAGTGTTTTCATCAGATGAATACATCGTATATGATTAGTTTAATAAGTCATTCATTGCAACTGTAAACTCTTAAATCAACGTCAGTGCACCTCGTTCCTCTAAACCTGTTTTAAAAACGGAGATGTTTGTTAGCATTGACATAGTGTACTACATTATATGTAATTACTTGTATTATTTGTGCAAAAGTCGATAAA